GGGGGAGGCAGGGGGCGGCGCCTGGCTGGCTCCACCCACCCCCTCACTCACTCACTCACTCCCCCCCACTCATTCCCTCCCACTCACCGACCCCTCACTTGGTCCCACCCCCCACTCATTCCCTCCCACCCCCCCTCATTCAGAACCACCCACCCCCCACTCATTCACACACCCCCACCCCCACTCATTCACACCCACCTACCCCGTACTCATTCCCTCCCACCACCCACCCACTCATTCTCTCCCCCCCACCCCCCACTCATTCACACCCACCTACCCCGTACTCATTCCCTCCCACCCCCACCCACTCATTCCCCCCCACCCCCCACCAACTCATTCTCTCCCCCCCACCCCCCACTCATTCACACCCACCTACCCCGTACTCATTCCGTCCCACCCCCACCAACTCATTCCCTCCCACCCCCACCCACTCATTCCCCCCACCCCCACCAACTCACTTGCTCCCACCTACCCCCCACTCATTCACACCCACCTACCTCGTACTCATTCCCTCCCACCCCCACCAACTCATTCCCTCCCACCCCCCACCCACTCATTCCCACCCCCCACCCCCAACTCACTTGCTCCCACCTACCCCCCACTCATTCACACCCACCTACCGTACTCATTCCGTCCCACCCCACACCCACTCATTCTCTCCCACCCACCCCCCTCATTCACACCCACCTACCCCGTACTCATTCCCTCCCACCCCATCCCATTCCCCCCACCACTTGCTCCCACCCACCCCCCACTCATTCACACCCACCCACCCCGTACTCATTCCCCCCCACCCATCACCCACTTGCTCCCACCCACCCCCCACTCATTCACACCCACCCACCCCGTACTCATTCCCCCCCACCACCCACCCACTCCGACTCCCAACCCTCAGTGACTCCCACCCCCCTCATTCCCTCCCACCCCCCTCACTGACTCCCATCCACTCATTCCCTCCACCTCACCCACTCACTCCAGCCAAGGCTAGTCTGGGAAGAGCAGATTCCTATTATACACGCACATTCCTCCCCCTCCACGCACACACCCCCGTGGCTACTCAGCCCCGGGGAAGCGCGAGGGTCTTCTTAACCAGGGGTTGCATTCCCGCGACCTTCCCTTTTCCCTTCCATGCGGAGGCACAGCAGCAGCTGCTGCCAACCCTTTGGAGCTGAGTTCCCACGACCCTCCTTGACTCTTTTATTTTTCCCTCCTTCCCCCCGCCCCCCACGGGGAATTAATTCAGGGGGAGCGGGGCTCCGCGTTGGAAACGGTCCTCTGGACGTGCCCCGCTGGGAGTGGGAAGGGGGCGTTGGCCGGAGGCGTGTGTGGAAGGGGGTGGGTGGGTGGGCTCAATTCAAGCCCCGGTTCCTTTCATCCATGGGGGGGGTCTTCAACCCCTCCCTTTATGAATGCGTGGCAAGGTCTCTGCGGTCAGGCCGGGCAGAGGGTGGGGGGGGAGCGGGCAAAGAAGGCAGAAGGGCGAAGAAAGGGTTGCAGCATCGGATGCCAGCCGCCAACATCTGGGGCATCGCTGTGGCTCCTCTTTTTTTAATAGACTCTGCAGCCGGGAGATTGCAAAGCTTGAGCAAAGCAAGGTCGTGCGAACCCAAAGCGTCTGCAAGGAAGGTGGGGAGGGAGGAGAAAGCACCGTTTGAATCGTGTTTTACAAGAGGGGGGGAGGAAATAAATAAATAAATAAATAAATAAATAAATAAATGAATGAATGAATGAATGGGGCAGAGATTGCAAGGGCTGGGCACATCTGCTGATTTAGGGCAAACGCATTGGGCCCCGGGAGAAGGGATTTCCCCTGCAGCGCAAGGCTAGACGAATGGCACAATATATATATATATAAATAAATAAATAAATAAATAAATAAATAAAAATCAATAGCACAGGGCGGGACTTCGGAATATTTATAGCCGCTGGCGCGTGGGGTGCGCTGGAAAAGCACTTTTTGCACGGTGCATCTGCTGAGCTAAGCAAGCTTCCCTATGGCATTTTGGAGGTTGACCTCCCTTGCAAACACCCCCCCACCACCACCACGCCGTTGCTTTCCCTGGATTGCCTTCTTTTTTTAAAAAAAAAAAAATTAAAATTAAAATTAAAATGCATGATTGCTGAGCCCTGCAAAAGGTGCAAAAGAAGCCATTCGACCGAGAAAAAAAAAAAAAGAGATGGGGAGGGAGGAGAGAGCAAAGGAAGGAAGAGCCCGGGGCAGAGCGAGCGAGCGAACGCACGCCGGCGGAGGGAGGGGAGGCAAGCAAGCGGAACGGCGGCGTCTCTAGAGCGACGGGGGAAAACAAGCTAATAGCACGAAGGGGGCGGGGCAGGAGGAGGAGCAGGAGGGGGGGTCGATTCAGCCTGGGGCGCATGCGCGGGCGCGCGAGGAGGAGGAGATAAGGCAGGGCCAATCGGCGCGCTGCTTCTTGAATGGTGGTTGTCGCGCCCGGAAGCGGCTGCTCGGTGGGAGTTGAAGGTGCCGCTCGAGCCGCTGAGGGTGAGTTTTGGGTGGCTCTCCGGGACCGGATGTGGGGGGAGGGGCGCACTGGGCCGGAAGTGGGGAGCCCCAACCGGGCCCCTGAGGGTCTGGGGCGCGCGCGGGGCCTGGCGGGAGGACGGAGTATCTTTTAGGGGGGGGGAGTAGTTGGGGAGGTGGACTTCAAGTCCCATCGGCCCCCCGTTTGAAACTCCCTGAGGAGGGATTGTGGGAGTTGTAGTCCGGAAAGTCTAAAAAAAAACAACAAAAAAAACCCCTGGCCTCTCTTTTAGCTGGGGATGATGGGTTTGAAAGCATGAACCTTCGGTGTGGGAAGAATAAGGGCAGGGGGAGAGGGGTTTAAGTTCTCCCCCCTCAGCCTTTGTGGGACTTTGGATCCCTTCCTCTTATCGGTCTACCTCGCAGGGTTGTTGTGTGGCATTTATCCCATTTGTATTAAAAAAAGTCCTCAACTTACAACCACTCGTTTAGGGACCAGTGGAAGTTACAAGGGCGTTGAAAAGAGTGACCCCAGGACCGTTTTTCATACTTAACGACCCCTGCAGCATCTCTATGGTCACGTGATCGAAATTGATGGTGCTTGTCAACTGATTCGTATTTATGACGGTCGCAGTGTCCCGGCCGGGAGGGGTCATGTGATCCCCTTTGGCAACTTCCTGACAAGCAGAGTCCATGGGGAAGTCAGGTTGTCACTTCACAACCGTGTTTACTCACTGAACTGCAGTGATTCGCTTGCCACCCCTGTGGCAAGAATGGTCGTAAAATGGGGCTCAGAACTCAACTGCCTTGCTTTTAGCCATGGAAATTTGGGGCTCGGTTGCGGTCGTAAGTCGAGGACTACCTGTACCTCGCATACAATGGTGATTCTGGACGTAGACGTAATTTTTAAAAATCCAATACATAAGTGACACTGAAAGCAAGTTGCGAGAATTCGAAAGATAAAAATAGAAGTTAAAAACAAAATAGCTCCAGACCCAGAAAATTGGATAATATGATAATTGGGTGAAATGTGAGCTCTGTGGGTTTTCTGAAACCGGCCAAGCTGCCAAAGAAGCATTTTTGCCTTTTGTCCTATTTTATTGATATGCAGGGCAAATGTCTATGGAGCCTGGCTAGGTGGCTCAGTGGCTAAGATGCTGAGCTTGTCAATCAGAAAGGTCGACAGTTCGAATCCCTAGTTATAGGCCGCCTGCGTGAGCAGGGGGTTGGACTGGATGACCTCCAAGGTTCCTTCCAACTCTGTTACTGTTACTGAGATTCTCAGTCATCCAGGTCATAGTTATCCCAAAGGGGCTTTTTTTTTTCAAGAGGCAACTGGACTTCCTTGTTTTTCTTTGAAGACATTTCACTTCTCATCCAAGAAGCTTCTTCAGCTCCTGTCAAACATCTTCAAAGTGAAACGTCTTCAAAGAAAAAACAGAAAGGCCTCTTGGAAAAAAAAACACCTTTGGGATACAGGGCAAATGTTCTGGCTTTCTCTGAAATGTACTTTTTTGTTCTCATATCATAGACTTTCTTCTGAGGAGTCAGTGCAGCCTGCTGCTATCCGTCCTCAATGGCCTCTTAATGACACTGAAAATAAAGTTGGTTTGGTTTGGGGTTTATATTTGCACTAGATTAGAGTGGATTTAGAATAGAATAGAATTCTTTATTGGCCAAGTGTGATTGGACACCCAAGGAATTTGTCTCCAGTGCATACATAGAATAGAATATAATTCTTTATTGGCCAAATGTGATTGGATACACAAGGAATTTGTCTTTGCATATGCTCACGGTGTACATAAAAGAAAACATATATTGGTCAAGAATCATAAGGTACAACACTTAATGATAGTCATAGGGAACAAATAAGCAATCAAATCACATTAGGAAACAATCAATATAAATCTTAAGGATACCAGCAACAAGGTTACAGTCATGCAGTCATAAGTGGGAGGAGATGGGTGATAGGAACAATGAGAAGATTAATAGTAATGCAGACTTAGTGAATAGTTTGGCGGTGTTGAGGGAATTATTTGTTGAGCAGAGTGAGGGCGTTCGGGAAAAACTGTCCTTGTGTCTAGTTGTTCTTGTGTGCAGTGCTCTATAGCCTCGTTTTGAGGGTAGGAGTTGAAACAGTATATTTAGCTTGGTTTAAATTGCTTGACAAGTGACTGATCCATGTGTTTTAGTCTCTTTAAGAGACCATTATTTAAAGACGATGATGGCTTAATAGAATTTGTGGGTCAGTATATTGTGCAAACCCAGATAAATGGGTTAATTATTGAGTCAGGCCATGAGTGTGCTTAGCCTAATTGTTCCTACTGTGGAGTCCTTGGTGCTGTCTGATTTTGGTTGGTTGTAGATATTTCATTGCCTGTAAAAGGTATGTGGTGCAGGCTTTGGGAGACGGAGCAAAGAGAGATGCTGTCCAGGGAATAGTCAGATAAGAGGCAGTATAGGCTGCAGCTGCCAAATGGGTGGAAAGACTCAGAAGGGACCCTTCCTCATTTCTCGGACTTTCAGACTTGCAAGTTTGATGTCAGCTAGATATGAAAAACTAAGATCATGGCATCCAGCCCTCTCAATTCCTGGCAAATAGATGGGGAAGAAATGGAGGGAGTGAAAGATTTTATTTTCCTGGGGTCCAAGATCACCGCAGATGAGGACTGCAGCCAAGAAATTAAAAGGCGCTTGCTCCTGGGGAGGAAAGCTACGGCAAATCTAGACAGCATACTAAAAAGCAGAGACATCACCCTGCCAACAAAAGTGCGTATAGTCAAGGCGATGGTTTTCCCAGTTGCAATGGATGGCTGTGAAAGTTGGACCATAAGGAAGGCTGAGCGCCAAAGAATGGAGGCCGTGGAACTCTGGTGCTGGAGAAGACTCCTGCGAGCCCCTTGGACTGCAAGGCGATCCAACCGGTCAGTCCTAGAGGAGATCAACCCTGACTGCTCTCTAGAAGGCCAGATCCTGAAGAGGAAACTCAAATCCTTGGGCCACCTAATGAGAAGGAAGGACTCCCTGGAGAAGAGCCTAATGCTGGGAACGATGGAGGGCAAAAGAAGAAGGCAGAGAAGGAGGTGGCTGGATGGAGTCACTGAAGCAGTCGGCCTGACCTTAAATGGACTCCAGAGGATGGTAGAGGACACGAAGGCCTGGAGGAACGCTGTCCATGGAGTCGCGATGGGTCGGACACGACTTTGCAACTAACAACAACAAACATTATAACTTGGAGCTATCATTAAATGAACTGTTGTAAGTCAAGGACTACCTGTCATTTGAGAAGCTTCTGCCAGCTGGTGTAGGCTGTTCTGAATTACACAGATCTTTGTTACTATGTTCCTGATCTTGTGCCTACTTATTTGGGAATAAATCCAAGCGTGTAGAGGGCAGCTCGTTCTTGAACCAATAGGCAGAAAATTTTATTATGACCGCACAGTCCTATTCTGAGTTACAGTTATTTAAATTCTGGAGACCCTATTCCACTGTGGTTGTTTTTTAAAAAAAATATCATTTTGCCAAATAAATGATTTCTGGAAAACAGGTGCAGCTGCCTGTGTACTGTTACAGCTTTCACCATATGGAACAAATGTAATCTTTAGTTGCAAACACCTCAAGGCAACTGTGGCAATTTTCCCAAAGCAATTTTGGCTACAACAGGAAGATAATCTGTTTTCTTTGTTTGTTTGTTTTTGCTTTTTGCTTTTTGTTTTCTCCTGGTAGTAAAACTTAAGGACATATTAAAGACTAATTGCTTTTTATCAGCAGACCTGGGTAGTCGTAGGTAAAGTTGCAGATAGGACTTTTTATTCTGTCTTTTGGATGGGACCAACCCAAGTATAATTAGGCGTATGAAAATAAATGCGTGGGTTTTGTGGCATTTTAACAAATTCATGATTGCATAAGCTATTCTGTTTCCTTAGACACAAAAAACCAAAACAATTATAAGTGAACTCTAGTCTACTGGGATTATGAGAGGAATACAAAATTGGTGGTAAAGGTCTAAATTAAAACTAGTTTCTTAGTCATATAGGAATCCAAAATTATAGGATTCTTATCAAGGAGATTGAACTAGACCTGTGATGAACTAGACCTATGGCATGCGTGCCCGAAGTGGCACGTGGAGCCATGTCGCCTGGCATGCCAGCCATTGCCGCAGCCCAGCTCCACCACACATGTGCATGCGCCTCCCACCAGCCAACTGATCTTCAGGTCTCTGCGGCACATGTGGGGGGGGCGGGCGCATGCATGGGGGGGCACGTGCATTGCATTTTGGGTTTGCGTGTGCACGCATCCCCCATTTTGGACCTGGAAGGCCGCCTACACCAACCTGAAAGCCAAAACGGGGCACAAGGGGGCGCATGCATGGGGGGGCAGGGGAGCATGCACGGGGATGCACGCATATGTGCTGGGGATACTCATGCATGCGCGGGGCTGGGGCACATGCATGGGGTTGGGGCACATGTGTGTGGGGGTGCTCGCATTGCATTTTGGGATCCAGGCACGCATGTGTGCATTCGCGCCAGCGCACGCTTTGGGCACTTGGCACTAGTGGTGGGTTGCTCCCAGTTTGGACCAGTTCTATAGAACCGGTAGTAAAATTGGCGGGAGGCTCCGCCCACTGACGCTGACGTCATCAGAAGCGATCTGGGCACGTGCGATCCCGTTGCAAACCGGTAGTAAAGGTAAGTAGAACCCACCCCTGTTCAGCACCAAAACAGTTAACCATCACTGAACTAGACATTCATATGTCAATGAAAGAGGACTTTTTAATTATAACATAGGGAGCTTTTCTGATAATATAGCTTAATACAGTTCATAAAAACGATCTTTTCATCTCGGTTGAGTGGAATTACTACCAAAGTGCAAGCATGAACCTCTTTTAATGAAATTTGTGTATATCTTCTGAAAATATTGTTTGGGTCGATGTAATATTTCTTAGATATTATTCTAAATAATTCTTGCGTTTTTAAATTCGGCCCATATTTGAAAGCCCAAGGACATTCACAGTTTTCCTA